GTTTGGGGTTGGGGACACAGCTCTGGCCACGGGGCTTTGTTTGCTCTGGGAGCTGCCACGTTGCAGGAGGGGCTGGGATTCCTTTGCAGAGGCTCCATGCGAAGGCCGAGTGCAGTCTGGGCTCCAGATGTGCAGGAATTGCAGATGTTTGCTTTCCTTCCCTGCAGGGATGTGGGGGCAGGGAGGGGGCAGGGGCAGCTGGGCCACCAGAGACCCCAGAGATTTTCATTCGGCCACTCGGGATCTGCTCGGCTTCTCACAGAGCCCCTTCTGCAGGGCAGACCCCAAAATAGACCCCAAACCCCCAAATAAATCGACCCCAAATCCTCGGGGCTGCGGGATCAGAGAAAACCCCAAAATAGACCCCAAAACCCCAAAATAGACCCCAAACCTCAAAACCCCAAATCCTTGGGGCTGCAGGATCAGAGCAAACCCCGAAGCCCCAAATAGACCTCAAACCCCAAAATCGACCCCAAACCCCCAAACAGACCCCACATCCTTGGGGCTGCAGGATCAGAGCAAACCCCAAAATAGACCCCAAATCCTCAGGGCTGCAGGATCAGGATAAACTCCAGGCCTCAAATAGACCCCAAAGCCTCAAAATAGACCCCAAATCCTCGGGGCTGCAGGAACAGAACAAACCCCAAACCCCAAAGTGACCCCAGAGCCCAAAGTGACCCCAGAGCCCAGACTGACCCCAAACCCCGAAGTGACCCCAGAGCCCAGACTGACCCCAGAGGCAGCAGTGCCCGTGGCTCTGGGGTTGCTGTGTGGGACTGAGCTGTGGGAACTCGGTGACACCGCGTGTGCAGCTCAGTCACACTCTGCGACCTGCAAATATGGGAACTAAAACTGGAGCCGTCACTGAACCTGTCCCTGTGTCCCTGTCCCCTGTGTCCCCGTGTCCCTGTCCCCGTGTCCCTGTCCTGTCCCTGTCCCTATCTCCATCCCCCTGGCCATATCCCCATATCCGTGTCCCCGTCTCTCCGTGTCCGTGTCCCCATGTCCCTGTCCTGTCCCCGTGTCCGTGTCCATATCCCCATATCCGTGTCCCCGTCTGTCCGTGTCCGTGTCCATATCCCCATATCCGTGTCCCCATATCCCTGTCCCTGTCCATATCCCCATATCCGTGTCCCCGTCTGTCCGTGTCCGTGTCCATATCCCCATATCCCTGTCCCCACGGTCCTGTCCCTGTCCCTATGTCCCTGTCACCACGCCCTGTACCTGTCCGTCCCCCTGTCCCCGTGTCCCCGTCCTGTCCCCGTGTGGGTGTCCCCGTGTCCGTGTGGGTGTCTCCGTGTGGGTGTCCCCGTGTCCGTGTGGGTGTCCCCGTGTCCGTGTGGGTGTCCCCGTGTCCCTGTCCGTGTCCCCGTGTCCCGGTGTCCCCGTGTCCCTGTCCGTGTCCCCGTGTCCCGGTGTCCCCGTGTGGGTGTCCCCGTGTCCGTGTGGGTGTCCCCGTGTCCCCGTGTGGGTGTCCCCGTCCGTGTCCCCGTCCGTGTCCCCGTCCGTGTCCCCGTGTCTCCGTGTGGGTGTCTCCGTGTCCCCGTGTGGGTGTCCCCGTGTGGGTGTCCCCGTGTCCCCGTCCGTGTCTCCGTGTCCCCGTGTGGGTGTCCCCGTGTCGGTGTCCCGGTGTCCCCGTGTGGGTGTCCCGGTGTCCCGGTGTCCCGCGGCAGCTGGTGAAGCTGTGCAGCGGGATGATCGAGGCAGGCAAGGTTTACATCACCACCAACAAACATTTCGTGAGCGGCGTCAGGGACCTGTCCCAGCAGTGCCGCAAGG